GCCAGAAAGTGGTGGAGCTGCAATTTGAGATCTAGTGTATCTGATTCTATAGTCCACATTTTTACCCACTATACTCTACTTCTATAAAATTAGATTAAACAGATTTACAAATTTCTATTGATTCTATGACTTACTTCCCTTATTAGATGGTAAAGACCTTTCCATGTCTCTTAGTGGTTGAGGTTAAGGGGCTGCAGCTACACTGGCAAAGAAAGGAGCAAGTTAAGTTCACATGGAGTGCTGGACTGTCATTCTGGTTCTGATTGTATCCCAAAGAATATTATTACTAACAGAGTCTTCAAAATACTGAGCTAATGAGCATTAAAATAAAGGATTTCTGGTGATTTGGATGTGAATCTAAGGGAACAGGAACCAAAAGGAAGTCCCATAACTATAAAGGTAACCAAGGCAAGTACTAATATCCTATTAGTCAACCCATTTAACTATAGTAACTGCTATCATGAAAACATATGAATGGTGTGTGGTAACTAATGACTCTCCAGTATTAATAAGCAAGATGCAGAGCAGAGATAGCCTGGCATGTAAACGAGGCCTCCATTAGAATTTCCCTTGAAGTGGGGACAGTGGCCAGGATAACATTAAAAAGGTGGGACAAGTTAGACTGCAAACTAAACACAGCTAGTGCCACCTGGAGGTCAGTTTACAAACTGCAATGATAGAACCATATACCTGGGGTAACCCTTTATTTTATACCTCCCCTTTACACTAGAGGTTAAAGTTTGGCTCCCAAGTCCATCATACTCCAGTCATAAAGAGTCAAAATCTAGAAAGCAGAACTACTCACTTCTACCAGATGGTTGTCTGGCCCATACAAGTCTTTGTCCAATTCGATCACTAAGGACTTAAAAAAGGAAGAAAATTTCCTCTTTTGTTTTGTGGCATCATATTTGGACAAGGCTGACTAGAAGAAAAAGAAACGGTCATGTTAGAAAAGGCTAGAATAAATTTCCCACAACAATATTTTTTAAAAAGAGTCCACAACAGCAATGGGGAAAAAAAAACAACAACAACTAAAAAATGCCTTCTGAATATCTCTTAAGAGATGGCAAAGAATCTGTGGGTATTAAACAAGTCCTGGTAGCAACAGAACCCTGAAGAAGCAGCCTATTACACGGACAGGATCATTGACTTACCCACCTCATTTCCCTTTGGGAAATGAGGCAAGTTAAGCCAAACTTCTGCACATAACAAAGCAAGTTTGAATAGAAAATAGTCTGACTGTAGAGAGGAAATGAATCACAGGGAATAAGCAGCCAGAACAAAAACAGCTTTATTTGGACAGAACAACACAATCAGCAGATGGACTGGACCTATATAGAAGAGAAGACTCTACAACACTGAACCCTGGTTCTCCTGCAAAAATGCATTCAAATTAGCTTGCCTGCAAGCAGCTAAAAATAGAGAGCCAGAGAGTGTAAGGAATGAGAAAAAGGTGAGTTTCCCCAAAGAGCTGCTGGTGTGGGAAGTTTGGAGGCTATCACCTGTCAGCTGATGTTCCCTGTGAAGCCACAAAGAGCCTGCTGGAGGAATCTATTACGCTTAAACCAGGGGTATCTCCAATGAAGATGGAGATACCACAATGGGAATCAAGGACCATAAGGACTCCAAGAGGAAACATGGCCTCAAATGCTAAGCACAAACTCACTTGATTTAAAAAAACAAAAACAAACTAATCTTAAGATATTGTTAAATTCAAAGACCAGCAGCACCAGGAGAAAGGTACACAACAAATCAGATCCCAGGACAATATGATACCAGTGAGGGTCAATGCTGTGGAAGCAGATACAAAGGACTACTGTCTTTCTGTACAGGGAAAAGTCTCCCTCTCTCTGATGCTCCCAGTTAGGCTTCCTGCTGATTGGACAACACTGCTCATTCCCAGCAGCTCCCACCCTGGATGCCGACCACAGTGGACCTTTAACTCACATCCTCCAGGAGCCGTCCTTCTACCCGAAGCTCCCAGGAAGCCACCGTCCCTTCCCCATCCTCGGCATCTGACTTAGCCGGATTGAAAGTGTTAGAAATGAAAATTCGCAGCTTCCGTTTTTGCTGAGGAAGGCAGAAACAGGATTGATGGTGGGGCTTCAGTGGTTTGATGTTGAAGACAAGGGTCTCCCCAAACCCCAAAATTAATCCTAACAGACTGGCTTACTGTCTACCCAGTCCCTCCAGTCGGTAGATGAAGATTCCATTTAGAAGAGGAGCACAGGCCACTGATCTAAGTGCAAGTGCATACACCATAATGCCAGGTGGAGAGTCATGCAAGTTGCCAGGTTCCCAAGGTAGCAGAGCCATTACAGCAAAAACACGGACAGGGTATATTTCGAATGCAAGAGACATCAAAAGCCCCTCCCCCTTGGCTGTTCTTATGTTCCTAAATGCTCCTAATGAAATTCTTGGTTTGTAGGCGGAAGGGAAAGATGCAATTTAAATGCCAAGGAGAGCTGTGCTGTGCCTTTGATTTCTCATCTTAAGCCTGGTGAAGGTTCCCAAGTCCTCTCCTTTGGCTCTCTGCCTAATGCTGTCCTGTGTTACCTTGATGGGACGTTTCAAGGCCTCCTGGATATCTAGCCGTTTCCTCATGATAGTCTGGTCCAGTTTCCTTTCAAAAGCCAAAAGATCCATATAGGCCTGGGATTCTGGTACCAGTTCACGAATCTTAGAAACAGAAAAGATATAATTGGGATCTAGAGCTGACCATCTCTATTCTCAGACTCACCACATCTTCAGGAAAATCTACAGCTTGGACTCACCCTTTGAGGTAGAATTTTGTCAGCCATCTTCTTTTTCTTTGCACTGTTTGGAATAAATACTGTTATCAGGTTGGAATAGAACTAGTCAGAACATGAAGATAAGCTGTCAGCACTTCCATTTATAATAAAGTAAGGGCCTGCAAAGTCTCAAATCAAAGAAAACCCTCTCCCCCGACACCATCAACTCCATCACCACCACAACCATGAGGCATTCTCAAGGATGAGCCCCCATAACAACATCTGCTGACTCGGCACCACCACTTCTTGATTTACCACTTCTACTCTCATAGATTCCCTTCCCCCCTCCCCAAGTCATCTTACTTGTGGTTTCGATTTTGGACCGCCTGCTGTTGGACCTGCTGGATCTGCTGAGGTGCAGGTCTCTTGCGGGACTGGTCCATCCCTGACTGGGCCAGGCCAGGTCGGACAGAAGGGTTTCCCCCATAGCCAGGAGGTCCCATGGAAGGTCCCTGAGGTGTCATTCGGCTGCCTGGCAGCATACCTGGTCTCTATAAAAATAGAGAGAGAACCCAAAGATGTAATGGCTTCCCTAGCTAACCCCATTAAAAAAAAGTGGGGGACATCTGAGTTCTTTGAATGAAACAAGATAGGGAGGTTCCAGGTCAATGAGAGAAGAGTTCTCTGCCTCTTTGAAATATAGATATCTGGAGCTTCTTCTGTTCTAGTAGTGATTTCATAGAAAAACAGGACCCAAAGGCTAACATATCATATGATTATATTCAAATTATCCCCAGGTTATATTGGATCTGACTCTTCCCACATCTCCTCTAATTCCATATTTTCTCTGCTATCTCCTTAGGTGCTGACCTCAATTTGCAGCTAAACCTTGGGTTTTCCTGTGAGCACTGGAACTGCTCAAGCCCCTTTGCACTCCATAACCATGCCAAGAGCCACTTAACCCACCCTGGTTCTACACCGACTCCTCAAGGAAACAATGCCTCTGGGAGCAGGTGGGGATGCTAAATGCCTCTCTCTAACCCCCACCCGGGGCACAGAACCCCTCCCAAGGGAGTCCCTCCTACTTCTCCCCCACCCTTGTCACTCCCAGGGCCCCGCCCCCGGCCCGTGCGCCCCTCCTCCTGCCTCACTCACCGGATAGGCCGCTCCGGGCATCGGGGAGCGGTACAGCCCTTGACCCGGCGCCGGGCCCATTCGCACCGGAGGTCCCGGAGTTCCGCCCGGGCCCAGAGCAGCCGCCGCACCCGCCCCTCCGGAGGCTCCGGCGCCGCCGCTCGGAGCCACAGACTGGAAACCCGCCCGGGCCGCCATCTTCCCGGAGCCGCCGCTGCAGCTGCACAAAGAACCGGAACCGGAACTCCCCCTGCCCCCCGCGCGCCCCCCAAGTGCCTGCCTGTTTGTGCGCCCGGCTGACCGGCGGGCACGGGAAGCTTGGGACAGCGAGACTGTAGGCTAGAGGGGGCGACTAGCGGAAAAGGCGTGCTGACCACTCCCTCCCGCCTTCAGGGTCCGGGAGGGAAAACCATAGAGAAGAACTGTAGGACAGAGAGGCCGCGCGAGCGGGCGCCACCAGGCAGACGGGAGGAAGCCTAGGCTCTGGGAAGGGACCACAGTCCCCGCCCCAGCCCCAACCCTGATTCCAGCCCTCTGAGTTTGGAGTAATCGCATCATGTTGGCGCAGTACATTAAACTTTTCAAGGCGCGTTAATTATTTTTCGTTTCATTCTCGAACTTCTATAACCCTGGGTGTTTGAGGAGCGGGGCACACTGTTTATTCCGTTTTACAATCGGGAAAGCTAAACTCAAAGGAGATAAGTGGCTTGGCAAAGACGTACCAGATAAATTGGCACTGACGGCAAATCCTAAATTACAAGTCTTCTGGTTCATAGCGCGGGACTTATTCCTCAGTAACTACCTCAAGTGGAAACTTCAACCTAAACCTTTAACCTAACCTGCTTCCAGATTTTAAGTTCCAGCTTATCTTGAATTTTGGCCCTGCCCTCGCACCAAAGAATCCTTTGTATTGGGACTTCTGTTTGGGAAATTAATTGCTTTTGGTTCCCTCCCTTTTTCCCTGCTTAGTGATTTAAACCATTCCTGGTGTGATGATTAGCCTGTCTCCCTGTTCAAAACTCCTTACTCCTCCCCTGATTGTGTGACCACATGCCAAGTTCAGGTCTAGACACTTAACGGGAATACCTAAATTCTTTCAACAAAAAGAACAACACTGAAGAGGACATGGTTGAAACCCAGTTTATTAGACCAGAGGCATGCGTCACCCAGCCCTGCCTGCTGTTCCCCTATCCAGTGTACACTTCTTGGCCTTGCTACTGCTTCCCTCGGGGCAGGTCAAATCTCTAAGAAACACTCCAGCTCCAGGCCAATGCACAGGTGACCTGCACACAGATCTTGTTCTGGGATTGGAGACCAAGAGACAGCTGGGCAGAGAAGGCCTGGAAATGGGTTGGTGCTCTGGCCTAGAAGGAGTGCCTGGTTGAGGGGGTAGGGGCAGGCCCTTTACCTCACTTGTCTCTCATTAAGGTAGGGAGGGACAGAAGAGCAGAGCTTTCAAATTCTCTTCTAGGCCTGCCTCTTTCCTCCCACTACTAAACCCTGCCTCATCAGAAAATGTAGGTGGTTGGCTTGGGCATAAGGTGAGGGAACAGGACTGGGTCACTGACCAAGGACCTCAGCTTTTCTACCTGTGGACATCCACTGCCCCAGCTGTGGGAGTCACCAATCCCCACCTCCCTCTGTGTCTGACACTGTTGGCTTAATATCCAGCCCAGCTCTCCATTCCCTGGGTGGAGGCTACCTCTGTAGCAACCTCTTGCCTGGGGAGGCCACAGTCAGTCAAGCAAAGGGCATTGGGATAGGTGGAGCAGGGGAAGGGAATGTTAAGGCTACAGGGAGGGCAGAGGTGCCCAGGTTGGGGGGAAAGGGTGAGGCCAGAACGAGGCAGAGCTTGTGATTCACAGCTTCCTTTATGTCGCCACCGAGACAGAGCGAAGGTTACAATGCGCGTGTCGTCTCCTTGTGCTTCTCAGAGGGATGTGTGTACACAGTACAGACACCAGGGGAGAGAGTCCAACTCTTTATACAGGCGAAGGCATTCAAAGACTGGGAAGGGGGGGATAAACACAGAAGGGGGAACTTTGGGTAGGAGGATGGATCTCAAGAGACAAGAGGGAATGGGTGAAGACAGACAGGGTTAGAGGAAAGTATATACAGAGATATAGCAATATAGAGTCTGTATCATATAGAAATAGAAAATGCAGATGAGGTTGTTGAAAGAAGCAAATGAAGCTGGGGCAGAGGACTTGGGAGAGTTCCATAAGAAAATTTATGGATGTGGCCCTCTGCAAGGGCCTCTGGGAGAGGGACCAGTGAGGTCAGGCACCAGTGCCCCTCTCCCTGAGCTGGAAGCTAACCAGCCAGGTCTTCCATGGGATGTAGAGGAAGGCTACCTCTTGGGATTTCTCTCCAGCAGCTTTGGGGTGGGGTTGAACTTGTAAGTATCAGGATGTGGCCTACAGCACCAGGGCCACATCTTGTCCCCATCTCCACTTCTTTAGGGGATCCCCCACCTGCTAGAGATTCCATATTATGTGAGGGAGTGAGGCTGGGGTTCTAGTTCCTGCCTGGAAACTCGGGGAATAACTGGGCTGAGAGGGTCTCTTAAGGCTGGGGAAGCCCTCCCACTAGCCCTTCCCCTTAAGTACATTCTCTGATTTGGGGCCAAATTCCAGACCCCAAGGATCCCCTCCACCCCTCAATAGGAGGGGGCTTTGGTGACTGGAGGCAGCAGAATGTAGGCAGACACTCAGGATGACAGACAGCCAGACAGACAAGAATTTAGGCTGGGAGCTAGGGGAGGCAGCATGGAGCAGAGAGGGGGCAGCCCAAGGTCCTTTGCCCCTTTCTCTCAGGTTTTTAGATTAGTTTAATTTTGTTAAAATAAAAAGAATGGGATAAGAGGCAGGGAGAGGACGCTATAGTCAACACCCTTCCTCATCAGAGACAAGAGGAAAGGACTGCCCCAGAAGTGTGGGTGAGTCTCCAGGACAGATGCGGAGGCAGCTAGGGGGCCCCTTGCTCTCCTAGCCCTCCCCGCCTAGGCGTTTGGTAGAGTGGCCTGCGCTCAGCAGGTAAAGTCCTCAAACGTGCCTCGGGCCGGATGGTGAGGTAGGATGTTGGCAGCGTAAGTCATCCCGGCAGGGTGGCCCCGGAGGCTCTCGCACGGGTTCTAGGGAAAGGGGCAAAACAGGAAGTGGTTACGGGAAGGGCCATAAGTTGCTACAGGTGCTGTGGAGGCAAAGGAGGGGTGATGGCTCTGGGCGGTGGGGGAAGGGAAGGCCTGGAGGGCGCCTCCTTGCTCGCTCCTCACGTGTCTTTTGACGTCATCCAGGCTGAGGGCCACGCCCTTGTCTGCACTGCTCCTCTTGGCCTCCTTCTGGCACTTCCCTCTTCGGCACAATTTGTGCTTTATAACCTACGAGGGGTGGGGTGGGGTGGGCGGGCTGGAACCCCGCCTCTCGCCTGGCTCCCACCCTACCCCGCCCCCTTACCTCATAGGCGTAGTCAAAGAGCTCCAGCACCGTGAGGATGCTGGCCCCGATGAAAAGCCCCATCTGACCCCCGATGTCACCTGCGGGGTGGGGTGGTGGAGTAGGAAGGGAGTAGGAGCGGGGTCAGAGAGTCAGGACTTGGTGAGGGCAGTAGGGCTTGGAGTGGGGCAGGCCAGCCATATTCTCAAAGGGAGTGGCAGCCTTCATGCAGAAGGATCACAAAGCCATATTCTGGCAGGATTTTTATTTTCTTCTCCATGCTTTTCTGTCTTTTCCTACTTTTCTAATATAAACAGGTATTATTCAGGAAAAAGAATTGTTTACAAAAACACACCAACACTCTTAGTGTCTGGATCAATTTCAGAGGCATATGAAATAGTTTGCACCTCCACCCCTACCCCTCCCTTATACCCACGGGCTTGTCTTTTCCACTTTGCCCTAAGAGAAGGCTCAACTACCTTCCCCCACTACATATCAAGACAACAGGGTTTGGGGAAAAGCACCTGAAGATGGGATGAGTTAGCACCCTGCTTTGAGTAGTAGGGAGCCACGCCATGCCTGTGGTATGGGAAGGGGACAGGTATCATGAGCAGCTCACCCAGGAGCCCTGCAATCTCATAGGCCTTCTTCTGCTCAATGGTCTCATAGTTGAGGACTTCAAAGAAAATGTCCAACACGAGGATGTTCTCCCTGCATAAAGATTGGGGGAGAAGACCTAAGTCATATCTCTACCCTTTACTAGCTAGGAAACCTTACAAGTTACCCTCTCCAAACCTGTTTCCATGTCCATAAGATGAGATGCTGATGGAGATACCTGCCTTTTGTAATTATTATGAGGATTAAATTAAATGGCATATAAGAAAAGATGCTCTATGTACTGGCAAGTGTGATATGATCTTAGTTACAGAAATGAGGATGAATACAGAGGATAAAACAAGGAGGGAGGAAAAAGGGGTGTTTCCATTGCTTATTCTGGCTTGATCTTCCCTCCATCTCCACTCCACACTCTCACTCTCATACTCTGATAACTCTTGGACCATCCTCAGATTATCTTAGCTCCTTCTTGCCTGCTGGTCCCCCATCAAAGCCCATTCTTACCTTCCACAGTCCCTGCCCAAGAGCCTTTCCCTGTACAGTAGATCCCTTACCCTATGTACTGTTCAGACTTGTTGAACTTCTTGGCCAGGTACTTGGCTGAGGCTTTGCTGGGGATCTTAACCATGGACAGCTCCTTGCCATATCGGGTCAGGTTGCAGGGCATTTCACATACGCAGTACTCCTGGTCCTTCTCCACCAGGAAGTCTGTACCCAGCCAGGTGAGAGGCATTGATTGAGTTTCCCAGCATGAACATCCTGGTCCTGCCCAAAGGAACCCTGCCACCCACCCCCCTTTTCCTGATCTGCTCTTCACCTTGGTCTTGTGACTGCTCTGTGCTGATGATCCTCACCCAGCCTTTGCGTGAGTATTTCTAAATCCTATATGTCATTCCATGAGGACCCTTTAGGGTCAACCAGCTGAAGTGCTGATGAAAGAATGTAAAGGCCCCTCCCAGGTGATCTCCATTTATTTTTCATAGGGGTTTCTGAAGATACTATTCTTAGCTTTAAAATCAGATACATGTAAGGGTGCAACGTGGTGCAGTAGTTACTGGAAGCTTCTGGAGTTTGGTCTGAAAACCCTGTGCATATGGCTGGTAGCACCTCCTTCCCTTTCTGTGACTACCCCAGGGTAGGGGCACTCACCCAGGGCAGGATCTGCACACTCCTTATACTGCTCTGGAGTGCAGTATGGTGCATCCCCTACAGAGAAGAGAAGACAGTGGGCAGGATGGAGATTAGGGGGCATGAGATGGTAGTGGCATATAAGGTGGAAGATGGATAGGATGGGACAGTAGGATTAGCCAGTCCCCAGTGTGACCTGGAAATGACCCTCCATGATAGTCCATCCTTCCTAGACCCTTTCACCCACTTTTTTTGGAAAAGGCTGGAACTGAGATTGGAGAGATAAGAGCTAGAGGGCAAAGAATGCAGTAGGCTAGAGAGATTGATATAGATGGGGAGCAGGTGAGGGGCAAGCCCCCAGGATTGTGCTTGAAGACTTGGTGCCTGACCTGGCATGTGTACCATGCGGCAGTTGCAGTTTTCCACCAGATAACGTGTCTCACAGTCAATGCGGCAGGCAGTGATGCTGTAGGAGTCGAAGAAATCCGAGTCCATGGTAACAGCTTTGCAGGTGCCCCAGGGTGGGGGCAGGTAGATGAGCTGCTGGGAGAGCCGGGGAGCTGGGGGAATGTGATGACTTCTCCCTGAGTCACCTTGTACTTCTTTGACAAGATGCAGAACTCAGGAGTTCTGCCCCTCTCCCTCCGCAGCCCATGAAGTTTTGCAGTTTGTAGAATATACCCATTCATTAGATCATTCATGTTTCTAACTATCCCAATTACCACAAAGGTCCTGCCTCACCTGTTCCTCCCATTATTGACCACCACCACTCCATCTTGACCCCTCAACACCCCACCCTAGGACCAGCCTTCAATGGCTCTCTCACCCGCTGCTCCTGGCAGGCCACAAAGGTCTGGAAGCCTGGGGCCACACCAAAGCCCAGCTGGTCGATGAAAGGAGGTTCATCCTGACTGTGTATCTGTACTTTGATTCCCGCTTCAAAGGATGTCTCGTCTATGGGAATGAGGGGTATGTGAGTTGAGAGGGCTTCTGAGTTCCTATCCCCTTCAGAGCTGAGGACATCCTGCCTCTCCTGGGAATAAGCACAGTGTCTATTTGGTAGGTAAGCTCTCTATGGGGTCCTAGGCTACCCCTAGCTGCTTTCTGGGTTTACCAGCTCCATGCTGTTGCAATGACCCCCGCCTCCTACATGCTTCTTTTCTTACCTGGTGTTTGCTATACATCTTGGTGTTTCACATTCTTTTTCCTAAAATGTCACTGTTTCAGATACTCTTCATTTCTCCTCCTCCCTTTTTTCCCTTCTCCCCATCTCTCTCTGCCCCACGGCCCCCTGAGACCAGACAAGCAGGCAGCCCAAGAAGAGAGGGAGTTATTTATAGAGTGAGTGGCGGCCGCTGATGGAAGAGGATGGCTGGTTACCTTGGAGAGTAACTGAGCCAGGAAGGGGGAGCGAGGGAAATGTGAGTGTGGGATGTCAGGTAAAGTCAGAGATACAGATGGTGAGATCCTTGGAGGAAGGGGAAGGACCCTGTGCCCTGCGCCCTAGTGGAGGCTGGGGCCAGGAAGTATGGGGAGTATGAGGGGTGCAACATACCAGTCTCTCCCCATACAGGTAAGTACTCGTCCTGCTGGATGTCCAGCATGATCTCCAGCCCATTGCCTGTCCCACCCTTCATGGTCTTCAGCCGGGGCCGCCCATCTCTACCCGAGTTGAATGTGTAGCACTTTCCATACCGTGTGAAGACCTGGTGGGGGGAGAATAGAGAGTCTGAGAGTCCTGCCAGTACCTACTACCAACTGAGGAGTGTCCCCAAACAACCCCCATCCCAGCTGGAATCCCAACACCCTCCAGGAACAGTTCCTCCTATGTAGCCCATTCTCCATTTGTCCCCTTCTGCCATCTATTCTCCACCCTTCTTTTCCCTGCTCTGTGCAGTGGGAAGCTAACCTTTGTGGGGTACATGGCCTGAGCTCCTTTTCCACCTGAATGGGCTTCAGTTAGGCTTGGTCAATGAGAACCACAAGTAAGGGATAAGAAGAAGGCAGGAGGAGAGAGGACTGGGGTACTGATCTTTCCCCATCCCTCACCCCTCTGTAATGCTTCCAGTGGCTTAGACCTTCCGTGACTATAAATCCTGCAAGGAAGGATGGAACTGTTTCCTTTTATGGCCCTTTAGCCTAGAAGTGATAACAACTTCCCACTATTGGTAGCTGCCTCAGCCCTCTTATTGGTTTTCTTTCTTTCTTTTCCTCTGTGTATGTTTGTGCATGTGCGTGTGTGTGTGTGGTGCTGGGGATTGAACCCAGGGCTTTGTGCATGAGAGGCAAGCACTCTACCAACTGAGCTATATCCCCAACCTTATTGGTTTTCTTAATCCTTCCCACAGCTCCATAAACAGTCTCTTTATTAAAGTCTTTTCAATGTGTAGCACTTGAACCATCAAGTGGCAATTTTTTTTCTGTTTAGGATTCTGCCATGTACACCTCCATCACCAGGATCTTCTCATTGCCAGATCCTTAGGGCCTTCTGAGATAGATCTTCTTTTCTTCTGGATTTCACCCCAGACATTAGAAATCCTGTTCTCCCCAAGACATGCCCCCAAACCCAAGACCGCCAAACCAAAGCTTTTCTGTTTCCTCTAGCCATCAGCCCCCTATGTCCATCACTGTCCTATTTATTATCATTAGAACCTGAAAGCCCCAGTTACCATGCTAAGGACCATGGTCACCCAGCACTCAGGACTAAGCCCCAAGGCATGGCATATTGGCAATGCTCTTATAGAGCTATGAGGGCCTTAGAAGAAATCTCAGCCCTGGGAGCTCCTGACTCCTCATCCCCTTACAACCTTTTTCATACCTCTGATTACACAGATGTGGAAAGTAGAGTGGCCTCCCTGAATGTTACCATAAATTGGATGGGTGTTCTTTTACTACTGCTGGATGGTGACAAAGTCCACAAAGTGAGTCACAAAGATTCAGAGAAGGCCCAAGAAGGGGTAGACAAGAGTGTCAGGCCAGATTCCAGCAGCAGGTCTAGTGGGGGTCACTAGAAAATAGTCTTTGCCCCTTCCTCATATAGCCTCTGTCACCTCTTCCAGAAGAGAGAACATGTTGCTCTCCCCCATTTTGTGGGTGAGATCTAATGATAAAGCACAGAGAGAATTATGAGGGCTCCTCATTCCCCAACTCTGCCACCAGCTCTTGTGACACGAAGCTACAAGCTCTTAGCTGGACACACATGCACATACCTTGATTGAGGTGACTTGGGAGCCCCAACCTTGCCTGGCTGAGAGGGCAGGGTTACAGAGCAATGGATCCCTGCTGCCACCTGGTGGTTTTGGATAAGAAGTGTCTGCTCTACCCCTGGGCTCCCAGGAGAGAGGTTGACTCTTTTCTTGTCCCAGTCCTGTATCTCCTGGACTTCCTGAGGTCAAGTGGCCAAAACATCAAGGTCCCCTATGTGTGTTCAGTCATTACATAGTCTGAGATGGCACCCACCTGCTCTTACACTAGGGAGGAGGTGGGGAATCAGGGATAAGAGTGTGGGGGAGGAAAAGCCAGGTATCTTATCTGTAACCTGGAGAAGCCAGAGAAGAGTTAAGTCAGAAAGAACTGGAAGATGGCTGGAGAGTCAGAGGGCAGAAATGGCAGTGTGGCAGGTGGTCCCTCATCAGGGAAGGCCCCAGACTTCTGGGTGGGAGGTCCAAGGGGGAAGCTAACTCTCAGTGAGAGCTTCTTCTGGGAAGAACGTCCCTGCCACTTAGAACAGAGAGGAAGGGGTTTAATTTAGAGGTGACCTGTTATTCTCTCTCTCTCTCTCTCTCTCTCTGAAACACACACACACACACACACACACACACAGTGGGTGGAGGATGGGCTTCCATAGAAGCACAGAAGACCAAGTAAGGATGCAATTAAGGAGGAAGATGCTGACAAGTGGTTCAGCGGGTGGAGATGGGGGCTGCCTCCACCCCTCTACCAACTCCTCACCACCCACTTCTGCACCTCCAGAGGTCAGATGGCTCCTTCCCCAGCATAAGTCCAGGGGTGATAATCAAAATAGCTAGATATAGCCACCCACCAACAGATCAAATGTTGTCCTCACAGAGCAAGGTGTGGGCACTGCTAGACCATGAAGGGGTCTGGGGAAGGGCAAGTGAGGCTGGAGGATATTCAGGAAAATATCAGGGGCCTCAGGGCACCAGCTAATTACTGACTAGGACAAGTATATTTCAAGATTCTAACAGGAAGAGCAGTACTGGTGTGGACCTGGGAATATTTCCAGTTCCAGACCCTGGACTCCCAAGTGAGCTCTGGCCCAGATGGGAGCACTGCACAGATACCAGCCTCAGCCCCAGGAGGTGACAGTCAAGGAGAGCCATAGCAGACAATCTCAGGGTGTTATGCTAGGCATGGACCCCCACTCACCACAGAGAAGTTGTGAGGGCCACAGGGCCCCCCGCGGTAGGAGCAATAGAGCAGCATGTCCTCCAGCCGGTGGCAGGAGCGATTGTAGAAACGGTGAAGATTAAAGGGCTCCTCAGAAAAAGCCTCTGGCCCAGGTGGAGCAAGGGGCACCCCAGGATCATCACTTTCATCCAGCCCCAGCATGGGGGCCAGGTAGAGCAAGTCAGGATAGCTGAGCTGGGACAGCCGCACAGCATTGGTGTTGCAGAGGGTGACGGCTGGGAAGGCCAGCTCTGTGGTGGCCACTTCGTCTAGCAGGGTCACATGAGGGTAGCTGAGGTAATAAGCAACACGGTCCCCTACCTGGCACAGGAAGGCACCCAATGCCAGGACAAAGGCCACAGCCCACAAAGCCTGCCTTGGCCCTGGACCCCCTTCCACAAAGACATGGCTGGCACCATGGAGGGTGCAGCTATTGGCAAAGGCCACCAAATCCACGGGTGAATCCCCCTTGATGGCCTCGTTCCTTGATGCATCCTTTTCCTTCTCTTTCTCCTCTTCGGATTCTGAGCTGTTCCGCTGTTGCTGGTGGTGATGATGGGGACCCCAGACATCTCCCAAGGACCCTGGGACTTCCTCTCCAGAGGAGAATGACACAGAGCAGAAGATCTGGATTGGCATCTTCTCCAGGGACTTTCTGACACCAGAGGATTGGCAGAAGGAAAGAGGGAGGTGCCAGAGGAAAGGAGATATGACCCCAGGCAGGGTCCGGAGGGGCCAGCCACTTAGTCCTTCAGCTAGTTCTGCACTGCCTGGCTGGCTGTCCTTTCTCACTGGGGCCTCTGTGGCAGTGTAGCTAAGCTGGGCGGAGCATGGAGAGGAGGACCAGCTTGCCCAACCAGGGAAGGCTAATGAATAATTGATGGCAGTGAGAAAGGAAGGCTGATAGACAGGAGGGGAGCACGAGCCCCTTTCCTGTCACTGGCTCCAGCAGGACCTAGAGGGTTAAGACAGAGTGGAAACCCTGGAAAAGCCTAGGGCTGGAGCTCTTGATATCCCCTCCCCAGGTGAGGTGGGACCCAGCACAGTCCTTTGTTCCCACTGCAGGATGATCTCAGCTGGTAACAGTCCCCACCCTCCCTCAGGACACACATGCATGCTCTCTCACCCTCCAGTCTATTCCCCAGCATGTCTCTCACTTTCCCCATTCCAATTCTGGCTCTCTCCCTTATTGTCCCAAGTCCAGTTATTCCTCTGGAATATCCAAGCTTCTCATGCTCTGTAGATATTCTCTCAGACTTCTACTTCCTCTCTAATTCCCTTTGACCCATAATTTCCCCCCATTTCATTGATCCCCTATTCTCTCAATCTACCCTTAAACCCAGTTCCTCTCTAATCAATCCTTTGATCCTCAGTTACCTTCCAGTCACTGTCCTGATCCCAGTTTACTTATTCCCAAGCCCCCAATTTCCCTGTCATCACCCCCTTAACCCCAAATTCCCTCCAGCTAGTACTGGACCCCCTTTATCCCTTGACCTCCAGCTCTACTTTAGGCCAGCACCCCTCCCCCATGCTGAATTGCACTTAGGTCCCTTTCCTTCTCCTACCCCATTTTGTGGATTGTGGGGCTAACTCAGGTTCCATTAGCAGAAGTCTCTCCCTGACCACAGACTCATTTGTGGCCACTTCCCGGCACTGGAGGAAGGTATCCTCTCTCTTGCAGCTGAAAAGCTTGCTGGCAGATCATCACTATATTCCCAGCTTGCCCACCCCAAAACAGTACAGAAGAGGGGTTCCAGGAGTTCTCTAGTGCATGGAAAAAATTGAGATCAATGCAGAGATAGAGGGTCTTGGGTCAGGTAGGGAGTTTTGGGAAACAACCTACAAACCCTCAGCCTTGCAGATTCCTAATCCCTCTATCTCTGAGGTGCCCTCTTCCCCCAATCCGCTGGCCCCTCTATGCTCTGATTACCCAGGGCCACTGGTTGAGGAACTTGAGCCTCGGGCCTAGTCTCCAGGGCCAAGAAGGTGACCTGAGGGAAGGGTAGGGAGGGAGAGAGAGAGAGACAGCAGATTAACCCTTCCTCTTCGGGGCCAGAGGAGGAGCAGTGGGAGCTAGACAGGTCTACCTGGGAGTTCCCATTCCTTAACTATCTAATAGCCTCTTCCCCATTTGCCAGATGGCCCCTGGAGTGAGTTGGGGATGGGAGGCAGGTTTCCAAGCTATAGCAGAATTGACTATTGTGCAACCTTTGGCCTTAGCTTTGTTGCCAGGGACACAGAGGCCCCAGAAGAGGAGGCTTGAGGTCTGGCCCCTCTCCAGTTTTATGACACTGTCCTCTGACTGACCTCAAACTCTTTTTCCTAAACAATAGCCTCCTAAGTGACCTCCCTGCCTCTCAACAGTTTCTCCCTGTTTTTAGTCCATGCTATGGACTAGACTAATAGACTCTGACTATTCTCTTGCTTAAAGACCTTCTTTCACTCCCCAGTGCCTCTTGGTAAAATTCACTCCCCCAGGTGGACCTACAAAGCTGACAGTAAAGCTTCAGCCTTACTTTCTACCACTGTCCCTCCACCTCAGCCCACATCCACCCATCATGACCTTTCCCAGACCACACTAAGCTTATCTGCAGTCCCGTGTCTTCCCTGGACTCCATCTGGAGAGTTTCTACTTATTTTCCTTTCTTTTCCTATCCAGAAAGGATCTCAGTATATTGCCATGTGGGCCCTGAACTGGACTCAAGCCATTCTCCTGCCTCAGCTTCCCAAGAATTTGGGATTACAGGCACAAAGCACTGTACCTGGCTTCCTACTCCTTTTTCAAGACCTGCTTATATGTTACCTCCTCCAAGAAGCCTTCTCTGACTCTACAGGGATTAGTTAGTACCTGCCAAGGGAATAAACAGAAGGGTCAAGTTCTGCTCAGGGCCCATCTGGCATGCATAGTGATCAGGAGCTCCTTGAGAGCAGAGCCTATGAAGAGTAAAAGATCAAGACTCAGAGACCATGCAGAGGAACAGGAAGTGAGAAAAGACCAAGGACACCAGAGTAATCAAAGATAAGTCACTGCAGAGAGGAAGAGAGAGACACCCCCCCCCCCCCACACACACACACCTTCAGCTGTTGTCCTCAGGTTTCTCCTATATGGATTCATGGGCTGCTTTTCTGTTTCCTGCTCTGTGGGCATTTTCTTCCTGCCTGCCAGACCTTCGCTCTCAGAGGGCAAACTCTTCCTGCCTTGCATCTTCTCAGGAAGTGTTTCAGGGGTAAGTGGATTTTGGGGGGAGGCTGAGGCTTGGGCTGGGAAAGTTGCAGCTGCCCATATGTTCCTTGACCACTAGAGGGCATTGTCCCCTTCCTTGAGATGTCCTGGAAGAGGATATAGATTGGACTTCCAGAGGGAGGAAACTAAGGCAGGAGAGCTTCCAGCTTGGGGCTTCACCAGAATGGAGGCCAGAAAGACACAGTTCAGCCTCCAAGGACTGTGAGTTTGGTCTAACTGTATACATTTTCCCAACACCAACAAGAAGATTCACCACACACTCCTGCACATTGCTACACAAATGCACACCCAGCTGCTTCCTCCTCCATACTCGGTATTCTTGTTCTTCTAAGGTTCTCTCTCACCCTAACCTTAACCAAGGAGACAAAGCCAAAGTTTTACAGGAAAGGAGAGGTGAGGAAATTGTCAGGGGGCATACCCAAACCCCAGGCAACACAAAGGGCCCCAGGAGAGGTGCTCAATTGTGCACGAGCACACCCACCCACCCACATACACACACAGAGAGCTACACTCAATTCTGAACTCTCTGTCCAAGGTTGTGTCCTTTCCCTATATCACTCCTTATCAGTACTCTTCAGCTGTGTGTGACAACGAAGTGGTTTCTGACTTACTATGTCTTTTTCTGAATTTCTTTCCCTCCCTGTCTCCCCCTCCCCTCCCTCCCTCCCTCTCTCTCTCTCTCCCTCTCTCTCCCCCCCCCCCCCTCTCTCTCTCTCTCTCTCTCTCTCTCTATATATATATATATATATATATATATATATATATATATATATATATGGTAGATCTTGGTGTTGGTGTTGGGAAAAGGTATACAGTCATACCAAACTCACAGCCCTTGGAGGCTGAACTGTGTCTGTCTGGTCTTCCTTCTGGTGAGGCCCCAACATATATATATATTGGAGATTAAACCCAGGGACACTTAACCACTAAGCCACATCCCCAGCCCTTATTACATTTTTTTCTATATTTATGTAGTTGTTGATGGACTTTTATTTTATTTATTTATAAGCAGTGCTGAGAATTGAACCCAGTGCTTCATACATTCTAGGGAAGCACCCACCACTAAGTCATGACCCCAGCCCCCACTAGCCCTTTTTATTTTTATGTTTTTAGTATTTTTGTAGTTGTAGATGGACAGAATGCCTTTATTTTATTTATTTTTATGTGTTGCTGAGGCTTGAACCCAGTGCCTCACACGTGCTAGGCAAGTGCTCTGCCACTGAACTACAGCCCCAGACCAGCCCTTTTTATTTTGAGACAGAGTCTCACTAAATTGCTGAGGCTGGCTTTAAACTTGTGATCCTCCTGCCTCAGCCTCCTGAACTACTGAAATTATAGGTATATGCCAACATACCCAGCTTCTTTCTGATCTGTGCAGTGTTTCAGAGTATTCAACTGACATTTCTTGGGGCTTCACCAGAATGGAAGATTGGTAGATTGTATAGATCCTTATACAATCTACCAAAGAAGTTGGTTGAGTAACTTCATAACTTTTGGACAAGTGAGGAAGCTGAGCCACAGAAACCAGTTCAAGTCTCATGACAACAAGTAATGGGCTTAATATTAGAATTAGGTCACCTCTCTCTAAATTCCTTCCTTCTTCATTTACTCATTGATATAATGGGCCCACATCCTGCCTGCATGGAGCTCACTGTCTAATGAGAGAGATATCAGTTTAAAAAGTCACAAATATAAATATTTAATTGAAAACTATGATAAATACAATAAATATAATTATGTAGTTCAATGAGGCAAAGAATAGAGGGACCTGACCCAGACTGCGGAAATCAAGGAAAGCTTCTCTAAGAGTGATATTTGAATTGCAAGCTAAAGAATAAAGAAGGGGCCGGGGGTTCCAAAAGGAAAATGGAATGTGTACAAAGGCCTCAGGAAAAGATAGCTGAGAGGAGGCAAGTGTATCTGGAGAACTGGGTTGAAGCAGGCAGCACTCAGATCATGCAGGTCTTTAAGGTAAGGATTCTGGTCCAATAACAATGGAGGACCTCCCTATGGAGATATCAAACAATCAAAGCTGTGTTTTAAAAAGACAGTTCTGGAAGCTGAGTAGAAGAGCCAGAGGGGCTGCTGAAGACTCATTAGGAAACTATTGCAGGGGTCCAGTGAGATGGATTTGAGGGGTGGTGTGGAACAGAGTGGCAGAGGGGAGATATTTAGGAGGCAAAACTGTCGGATCTTGTCAAGACTTGGCAGGTCCTACCAAGGCAGGTAAGGGAGACAGAGAGTAGGAGTTTATGTACCTGAAACAGTGAGGTGGCTTACTAGACTGATCAGGGACAAGATAAAGGACCTGTTTGAGAGATAAGAAGACAAGTTTAGTTTTGCACATGCTGGTTTTGAGAAACCTTGAGGACATCCAAATAGAGAGATTAAGTGGAAAATTGGCCATTGGGGCTGATGCTAGGAAGGGAGAATTGGACTGAGACATATATTTGGCAGTTGTCAGTATGTAAAAGATAATTGGAGTCATGAGTGAAGATGAGACTGCCCAAGAATAGAATAAAAAGTTTTTAAAAAATAGAAAAAAGGACTTATTTGGCAACATTCACTAAAGCTAAATAGAATCATAGCTTATAACTTAACCAGTTCTACAGCCAAAAGAAGTGAGTGTAGGGCTGGGGATGTGGCTCAAGCGATAGCGCGCTCGCCTGGCATGCGTGCGGCCCGGGTTCGATCCTCAGCACCACATACAAACAAA